AATTGTGCCATTGAGTAACACATCACATTATATGATAATTATGCGTTACGAGTGTGCATTTACATTGAATCCGTGTGGGTCCAATTGTGGCTTTTATAGTGACAATAATTTTTATACGATAAAATGGGAAGCCACTCGATCGTTAAAAAAGAAGCGAAACAAGAGAAGGAATGAGTTCACAATGTTTAAAAAATCCACAAAAATACAACGCGCCGCTATAATAATCTATCGGCGAAATATTACGCTTAATCGTACACTGTTCGATGAGATTAGATTATTGTGGAATTCTAGCGGCAGGAGGAGTTGTTCATTTAATTATTGTTATTTTTTGCGAAGAACGCATTTAATTTGAGTACCAATTAGAACCCAGGCTATATACCGACATTTGTCGATGATATCGCCCGTCGTTGTAGTTTTACGTTACATTGTACAGTGTAAGGGTTATTACCAAAATGGCAATTGTAATCATAATTTATACTCTTAGCCAAGGCGATAAGCCTTTATGAGCTTCGTTTACAGGGACTGTTTAACTGTTGACGAAATGGAGAAGTACATGGTCTACGATTCTGGAGCGGATTGTAGTAATTTGATTCTGTTTTTATTTTTTGTTACGATATTATGTTATGTATTTTCTTTCAAGAAGATTTTGCAATATTGCTTCTAATCGCGTTTCTGATGTTTTGATATCATTTTGTTGAGTGAATTAAAAATCATATTTTTGCAGATAGACTTCCATTTGTCGTTCCTCCTTTTTTGTTTCATCATTTTGTTCCTTTTCTTTTTATCGTTCGAGAAAATAATTCCTCCAAATGAACCTTCTGCCCTTTTTAAACTCCTGGCCTTAAAAATATCTGCTTATGCAAACTGCTAGATACTAAATGTTATTATATGAGAATTTGATAGTTAGTATGAACAAAATCATAAAGTAAATATCAGTTAATAACACAAATTATATTAATCATATTAATTTGTATTTAATTTGTTCAATTTTGATATATTTAAATTAATCCAAATTACAGTACTTCATTCAAATTGAAGTTTCTTGTCGCAAATAATTACAAATATCTTCGTTATTAAAAAAAAATTATAAGAAGTTCGGAATAATTGTAGGGAATAAATATCGGCAAAAATAAGGTGAATTAAAGTCTAAAATTTGGAACTTAAAATTTCTGAAATTTGAAATTATACTGGAAGAAAATTCAAGTTATGATTATCAATTTTTAGAAAATTATTGAAACAGATACAGTATAAAACGATGTTATTCAAATATTTCATATTCAATATTTATGATAATAGTGATTATGATTTATATATTATATTCTTTATTTTAAATAATTATAGATTATACATTAATGATAATCATACATTAATGATGATCCAAGATAAAAGTATAAATTTAAGATTTAAATAATTTAAAATTCATATAATCAACCGCAAGTTACACTGCTATAGTACTGAATTACTTAACACATATTAAAGGGAAGGTGAATTTATCATATTTCTGAGTCATTAAAATTTCGCCTGGTTTAAGGAAGTGGAACAAATATACAAAAAAAATATATCGTGTTACATCAAATACAATTATCAAACAATATGGTTATTATATACATAAGAAAATACTCCTATGAAGTGCTTTAATACAACATACAAAATAATATATGTATATATATATACATATATTCTACAAAAGCTTCGAATGTAATCATAAAGTTTTTAGTAAACAAAAGATCAGTTTTTGCTAATGCCTAAGAATGGTTCTAAACTAATGAACGACAAAAACTCTTAGACTAAAAACTAACGAATTAACGGCGAAAAGATAATGAATAATGAGCCGTCAGAAATTTTAAAGATGCTCTTTTATCGGAAATATTATCTTATTTACAAACTTTTAATAAGTCGTGCCTTTTAATATAATCTCCATAGATTTTATTCTAACGTGGAAAACACAAATTATTTTTAAATCATTGATAACCACGCGATACAGGGTGATCTATTATTAAAGAAACAAGACTGCTACTGGTACGCATAATGTCAAGTTTTCTTAACACTTTTAAGAGATTTAACCACTCGCGAGGCAATGATTACATCGTGCTCTAGGTAGCAAAATATTTTTATTTATGTTCATACAGAAAGTGCCTCCTATTCTTTCACTTTTATTGATAATAGAACCTATATCTATAATTTACAAATACATTCGAATAACATGTAAAAGCGATTCGATCAATAGTAAACATATATAAATACTAATTAGCTTAAAATCAAGTAAGCTTTATCCGAAATATCAATAATTTATATTGCTTTAGCTTTTTTCCTACTGCATATATCCTTGTTAAAACATACCTTGTAACACAAAATTGATATATTAAAAACAATAAATTGTTCTTTATTATGTTAACAATATTGTATTGTTTCATAATATATAAAATTGTGCTTTAAATTACATAAAAAGATTAAACAATTAAGATTTATTTTCTTTTAATTATGATTCATTTGACATTTATTACACATTTCTTATATAAATTGATTAACAGAAATAAAAAAATATATTCATACTGATAATTGTAACAATTTTTGCCACCTTATTCTTAACTGTAGATATTATGAACTTTTGTGTTTGACTTGTTTACTTAAAGCTTGATACAAACCAATCAAGGAAGACAATGTTCCAAGTGCCCCAACTTGCCAAGTTTTCAACTGTCCTCCCCAGAATGTGCCAGATGGCAGATAACTAACTGCATAACTTATATCTAAGACTAATCTTATGCAAGTTAGTAATTCATTCCACCTCTGTCTGCTTACCGTCTTCAAAGCAATTCTGTTCAAAAATAAATATTATATATATAAAATAAAAATAAATAATTGATATTATAACATCATATTAATCATATCAGTATAAAAATGTTTGTATAGTGTTCCTAAATTTACCTTGTATTGCAGTTAGTTTTAGTAAGATGCGTCTTATAATTGCTAAACTGTTTTAATTTTCGCAGAGATCTATAAAAAGATATACATATAATCAAAGTGTTTAAGTACAATATTTAATTATATCTTCTGTATAACATACTTTAATAATGACAGTTGCAGAGAAATTATCCAGAACCATGTTGAAGCATTATTCCATGCTTCAGTATCAATTTTAATCAATTTATGTTTGCCAGCCCAAAAAGTGTGTTCTACTGGGCCAAACATAATATCCACCAAAATCTGCATTAATTCCACACATCTGATCAACCGATCTGGCTCCTATTAGATGACATATGAAATTTATATGCCTGTAGAAGAATAGTATACATTTGTACATTACATTAATATATAGAAAATGAAACACAATTTGCAGAAATTATTTTCTTTTACATTGTAAGTATATTTTACTTCATTAATATATATACCTCTTTTCCCCATCCATATTTCATTGCATAATGAACGGTTGGTATGTCATCTAATAATCTTAAAATCATTCTGCATTCACTCATTTGACTGCTAAATATTTTTAATTTCTTTTCTGTTTCATTTGAAGATGTGCCCAACGTAGCAAATTTTGCCATATAAGACAATGTTCTCAAAAATTTATCTCTACCTTGATGTGTTTCCAGATATTCTGATATTAATGCAATAGTCATATTGGAATGAATATGTTTGAAAATATAGATCTGACACTGTAATAAAAAAAATGTGAGATAATATAATAATTTTATTAAGAATAATAACTTTTTATGGATCTGATTATTATATAGTCGAAGCAATAGTAATATCTATAATTTGTAAGGTCAAGTGTAAAAAAATGGCAACTCACCGAATATGTAATGCAAATAAGTTCTTAGCTTTACCAGCCTATACATATGTGTCCTACTTATTATCAATAAATAACATATGTCACATGAAGGAGTATGCAAAGTGAGTTAAGCTGTGGAAAGAACTAGCTTTTTCATACATTTCATAGAAGATTTCCGAATTATTTATGTGCATTTACATTTTATTTTGTTATGAAATTTGTAATTAAAAATAATTTTAACATAAACAAGTTTGAAGTGCGACTTTTCATCCCTTCTTACTTGACAATGCACTCTTGCGGTTGTGTCACAAAAATTGAAATGAAAAGGTAGTTGGTAAGAAAGAAACTGTCATCTATCGGTAAAAATCAAAATGTTCGTAAATATTGAGAAATTGACACATATAGAATTATTAAATAATATTCGTGGTATAATTATTCTTTCAAGAGAACACGATTTCGATTATTTATAAAAGATTAGTCTTATACAAATAAATATCAGAATTCTTCGGTTTCAGTACTGATTTCAGCATTTCTAATAAATTATATTTTGCTGAATATTTATTGAAATGTATTTCCAGTATTTTAGACTACTAAATTAATTAGCAGCATAAATAAAATACATTATGTTATATCAGATTGTATTATGCAAGTTAAACATAACTTGTAAAGGCCGCATAACGACATTTTTCAAAACAACTAGTCCCTATTAGAATAAAAGATATTCCGTAATTTCCAACATACAAATATTTTTAATTTATTGTCTAAGTATCATAATTAAAACTTATTTAAAGTACCTTCTCGATTATAAGTACATATTTCATATCTATACTCCGTTTAAGTCAAGTTAAGAGAGGTAAATATACCCGGTCACGTGATTCTCCATTGTCCTACTAGCCACTAATTACTGGTGAATTATAATTTAAATTGATTTTTTAAACTTGACACATTTAATTAAACAGTAGCTGAAATAATCTAGTTTTAGATACATTCAGTATTATTAGTTAAAGAGTTAATGTTCAAAAAAGGAGCTTTCTATTTAATAATTCTATCAAAATTAGAATCACGAATCCTCAACAATTTTCCCTATCCGGATTCCCTATCCGATCACGGATTCCGTGATCAGAGCGTATAGTTATAACTGAACATTCTATTTAAGATTTCCCATCTATATGTGCAGTAAGTTTATGGCGAACAGGGTGTAGTGGGGGAACTGTCTTCTCAAAGCGTCGTATTCGCTCATTGTTGTGTGTCGCTTTAGAGCAACGTGATCAGTGGTTTGGAGACGTGATGACGTCAGACTTCGAGGCACAAGCCGAGAGCGCGTTTAAAGCCGAGTAGGGCGTGAAAGTGTGTGTCGGTGCCGCTCGTTTTCCTTCTAGTTTCTTTTAATCTAATCCCCGTTCGACGAATAATGTGCAAGTAGCATCGTGTGCCGCCGTGAACCAACGTGGGACAATTATGTTCGGTGTTCTTTTAACGTGATTAATAGTGAAAAAAAGGAATACCATGTTCCGCTGCATACCGATTTTTAAAGGGTGTAACAGGCAGGTGGAATACATTGACAAGCGTCATTGCTCTCTGCCGTGCGTCCCCGATGATATTTTACGATATTCGAGAAGCTTGGAAGAGCTCCTGCTGGACGCGAATCACATTCGTGATCTACCTAAGGTAGACAAATACCGCTACATGCCAACTTTTCTGTCTTATAACCCGTATCTCTTTTTCTTTCTATGCGTTTCTCCCCTCTCTTACTTCTCTCGCTCTATCTTTTTCTCATTGTATCTCTTTTCCTCTTGCTATTGTGCCCATGACGTATCATACCATCGGCTGTAATGTAACGACGAAGAATGTGTACGGCATAGCTAATACCTTTTTTATTTTATTATATTAGCAACCAGAATACAATTCTTTGAGTTAATTTACTGAGTTGGGTGCTGTCTAAAGCACTACTTATGGCGTAAAGGGTAGCTTTTATTGTCATTGTTGTTATTTTCTTATCAAATACGCTTATTATTGTGTCTTTCCTCGTTCCAGAATTTTTTTCGGCTGCAGAAGCTACGAAAGCTAGGCTTGAGTGACAATGAAATTCACCGCTTACCACCAGATATCCAGAACTTCGAAAATCTCGTGGAGTTGGATGTATCCAGGAACGGTGAGTGCACGTTTTTCTTTTTTCTTCTTTTTTGAGTTTAGTCATTTGCGGTTTTGTGGCGGTGTGGCGTCCACGACGATAGGATAGGGTCGATCCCCGGTTTCAACGTTTCGTTAGGAATGAAACATTTTCCTGGACTGTTTTTATCTTCGTCTTTCCGGTTATTTTTCTTTTCGTACACGGTTGGTGAGCAAAGCACTGCTTGTACATGGCTTCTAACGAAGCACGTGTACATGGTTCAGACACGATTGTCAATGAGAAAGTTGAGTGTAATAACGTGCGTACAAAGGCGTCGAATAAAGAAAAGTAGAGTTAAACGAGACGGTCCGTTAATGGAACCTCATGTTCGAGGTAGATAAACTGCGAAACAGTGCCCCAGTGTCAAATATTAACCCTCGAATAGCATACTATGGACGGGGTGAGTCATTTCTGACTTGTGTCTAAAATTCAATTTCTTAATGTAACTTTATTATTACATATAAATAGGAAGTAAGAAATTGTGGTTATAAATTTTATTTAAAAAATATATATATTTATCGCCAATATTGCATCTTTATTCCCAATTTTGAAAATTAAAAAATTACGAATAACTGTAAGTATTACAAAATTGTATAGACGCTATATTTAGACGAAAAATTTATATAATTTATTAAATCTTATTGTTAACACATCTTTCCTTTCTGAAACATTACACTGCACTGCGTGGAATACTAAAAGTGCATTCTTTTGTTTGGTTTATTCAATCGTAGCTGGTACTAATACTTTATGGGCAAGTTACCGCTATCATTGTATTTTTTTTTTACATTATACTGCCGGTTAGAGTGGCGTAAGCAATACACCGACTATGATCTAACAGATTGACTGTTACTTTCTGTGATACAAAAAAATAAATTTTGAACGTTATGGTTATAACCGTATATAGTGCAAAGTTACTATAATTTGTATTTTATTCTAATACAATTCATTAACAATTAAAATATATATCATAAAAAGTAAGATTTCTATAAGGAATATCGATTCTATAGTCGATATCAGATGTTTCTCGATCATACTTTCGATATGTCGATCGTTGATTTGATCGAGAACGGCGATTATTGCATTTTTTTCGAGGGTTTAATTAATAAATCTAAATATTAGTCAATTTTTAAGTTTGAGTAAAATAAAATCACTGATATACATAATTTTCTGCTTTATTTTTCTAGTAAATAAATAGAGATACTATGAGTTGCCTAGTAACTTCACATACAATTATACTAAAAGAACTCTTTCTTTCTACTGTTTTATAAACTTATAAATGTATAAATTGGGAAAGGTAAACAAAAATTAAATATTTTAAAGTTCGTTTATACTTCCGTAACATATTTATAATTTCATGAGGTCGCTCACACTGTCATTTTAGGCGTAACTATCGATCGATCGAACGTTTCGATTCAAGGATCGATTCAGGAAGATGAAGACACACATTCTTATAGTAAACGGCGCCTCGTTTACTTTCTAACGACGATGCAGCGGCTTGTAACTCGAAAGGCACGTTGAAACGCGTTTTTTAGTCCCGCCTCGAAGTTGTTTCCCAAGAGGGAAGCCTTTCCTTTCTCGCTGTTCGCTGGATTTACTTACCGTTCCACTTCGGCGTTTTTATGTTTACCTTATGCTCGTCCCTCGCCACCCGCGTATATACACACTACACACGGAAACTTCGTTACTTCACATGCAGCACGACGTGACGGCCAAAGAAGGAATGCACCGTGTAGAGCAGCGATTTTCAACCAGTGTGCCGCGAGAGGTCCACAGGTGCGCCGCGAGAATTTTTAAAAGCACGTAATACCTAGTTATTTGGTTACTGATTTCTTTTCCCCTAGATTATCAAATAAAAAATACAGCAGCAAAAAAAAAGAAACAAAGAAAAGGGAAAAAGAAACTAACACCCCGGTGTCAGTGTTCCGTCTTGAACCAAATATAATATATTTTCGGGTGTGCCGTAGAATTTTAGTAATTACAGCGGTTACAAAAAATATTTGTACATATCCTCATTTTTTAATGAAGCGATCTTTTACTAGATTCTACATTTCATTATGGTAGTATCAAATTTTTTTAATCATATGAAAATATTTACTCTTGAACGATATGCAATTTATTTTAGTTGGATCTAATTAACTAGTATATAAATCATAATAGATAAGTGCAGTGGGATACAAATACTTCTTGTAGTCACTGTAGTTTATGTGTACCATAAGATAAAAAAGGTTGAAAATTGCTGTTATATAGTCGTGGAGACTTTTTCCCTTCTTTTTCACCGGTCCCTTCTTCTTCTACTACTATCTCCCTGGAATGTTTTCTGCCGCTAAATACTCAATAACATTCGTACCTTAGTTTGCGCTTCACTGGACATCTCTCTCTTGAATGTGAAACGACGCTCTTGTCAACGTTTCGCGGCTTACGAATTCCCTTGCGTTCCTAAGGACTCGAGTTTAAGAACAATATTGATTTGAAGTTTTATATTTAATTCTTGATATTTTAAATATTTTATAACTGGAATTTTGGTCTGTATATAGATATTTAAAGATATATCCTACCTATTTCCAATAATTTATTTGTTCATATCTTCTAGGTGTTGAGTACGTAGTGGCGTCATTTTTAAATTTTCGAAATGGCGCACAGTGCGGCATTTGTATGAGGATTCGGGACAAAAATCAAAATTCAGTGGTCACGTTTACACGTTCACAGGCAACGTTCTCACGTTCGCAGGCCACGTTTGCAAATCAAATACGTATGGTTTGTGGAACAGGTTCCTACATTCGTAGACCATGTTCGCAGGCAATGTTCGCACGTTCGCAGACAGTGTTCGCACGTTCGCAGGCAATATTCGCATATTTGTAGGCCACGTTCTCAAGTTTGCTGGCCACGTTGTCACGTGGCATTGTATCGTAAAAGAAATAGTACTTCTGTTGAAAAAAGAATCCCATTTCACAAATTGAGTAAAAAAATCGAATTCCTAAAGCCATTTATCTCTTTATACTATATTTTCTCTACCTCTGCTTATCACATTCTATAAGTATAATATATTTAACATATTATCAATTCCATTACAATATTATTCACATTATACATCACAAACATTAATCTATTTTCGTATCTTATATTTCGTTTTACGATATTATGAGATTTTTTCACGGCCTATCTAGGAAGCTTTTAAATAACATCCATTCAAATGCATATAAGCTATCTAGTTGACAGTATGTTAATTATGATTACGTATACAATATGTCATAAATACCACGTGAATGAACAATGGACAACAAATGAGCCACTCAGAATTCTGATCAACTTCTCATACACTAAAAAAACAGAGAAAAGTGGTGATGTTGCAAACGTAATTTTTTCAAATTTATCTTGCAATTTACAATTACGCATCTCATCTTACTGTAAATAAACTCATCATTGTGTAGCTCATTTGTCTTTGTATATTATTTAAATATTAGCTATGTACCCGAGTAATGAAATTGATAAATGTATAAAAATAAAGTTGATCAATTTGGCTTATTTAGAGGAGTGTAAATATCAAACGACGTTGTGTTGTGTTCTTGACTGTATCGCTAAAGGTACAATGAAAATACGCGCTATAGATAAATTCTCTCGCGTAATTACTACTTCCTGATGCGCGGTCGGCCTCGTTATCAATAGACGTGCCGCTTTTGCATTCTTTCTTACATACATGCGCGCGTGACACATCTCCGACCGAGTAATTAGCTTCGAACCACGGTGCCTGTGGGCGCATGTTTGTTTATTCGTTGTGTAAAATGAAATTTTTCATTCATCATGCCGGAATAACGGGCTTCGACTGCCATTAACGTTTTGTAATTCGTGATTTCATCTTCTACTGCCCAATAACATGATTTTATTTTTGCTGATATTATTTTTGATATACTAAGTGAAAAACTTTATATAAACTTTTCTTTCAAAAATCCATAGTCCATATATTTTATTTATATTTAAAAAATTGTTCATAGAGATATGTTATAGATTATTCTTTATTATTAGCATTGCCTTACAAGGTTTATAAAAATATAAAATAACTGATATATATGAGAATGTCATAAGATAGATTCATGTCTTCTATGAAAACCTTCGGTAGAATAGCTTAATGGTTAATGGGATAATTTGTTTTGTTAAAATAAAATAACTCTGCTAATGCGTTCGTGAATTGTTGGACGATTTCTTCCAAGAGCTTTCACTAACGAGCCTCATTACTAAAATCGCTTATGTAATTAATTAAAACTTTAATTTAGTAACAAAATTATCTAGATAATTGCTTAAAGTTTAATCGAAATTGGCTTCATTTTCTTGGTTACCTGACTCATTCTTCCAATATCTTCAATTAAGCGATTCACCGTTACCTAAACGATAGTACGTAATCTGTAAATATTTCAAATATGTACGTACTCTTCAGTATTAGTTCGAACATTCAACATATCTTGTTTCATTAGTTTGTGTTCGTTAATCGCTTCGTATAATAAGTTGGCGCGAAATGGTGGGAACGTTTAACGGTCTAAATCGAGCTAACAGCCTCCATTTTTAGTCGAAACGGTCGAATAATAAATGAAAAAAAAAGAAAAAAATGAAAAGGAGAAAAAGAAGAAGAAAAAATAGAAAAAAAATTTCGAACAATACCAAAGTGTATAATAAGCGGCGGCATTGTACATGCTGAAAAATGAATTCTTTTGTTCGCAATGAAAGTCGAGAGCTGGAGTTCCAGCGAAGTAAAACGTTCTGCCGGTTTTACACCACGTCGACCTAGCGATTTTCGAAAACGAAATCGCATGCAACTTCGTTGCTCACTCACCTGTACCTTGTCCTTTCGCCTTCATTCATACGATAAATCGAAACCGTTCCAATTTTTATTCGGTATGGTCAACTGTGAAATTCTCCGTACTTCGCAGTAACAGATCCTTTGTACTATTCTAATTGTGCTATATCGTGATAAATGTAAGCGTGGATGGATC